TTTAGTCAAACTTAGACATTGAACTCTATTTGGTCTTGTCCATATTTGCATAAACACTTCCCTCACATGGTCACAAACCAACACAACTAGAAAAACCTCGGCTGAGTACCAAATGTATCGAGAAGAAAACTAGTGAAATGTCTTTTCAAAATTATGGGGTGTCCATTATAATCTCTAGAATATTTTTCCATACTCTGTGCCATTTTTATGCAGAATCATTTTATACTATATGTAATATTACATTTTCATAAAACCTTACAAAAATCAAAGGAATATGAAAGCATATTTTCATCTCCAAAGTACTCTTTAAGCTACAAGGTTGAACTTTTTTTTTTCCTAGTCCTTTCTGCGGTTAAAAAACAAAAATCATACTTACAGTCAAGCATGGTGGTGGTAGTATGATGGCCTGGGCTGCTTTCCTGCCTCAGTACTACAGGATCAATGGAAAATATGTGACCATCACTTTGTGACCTTAAGTCCATTTTGGTGATCTAGAACACCATCATAAATAATAAAAAGGCAACAAAATTGCCTATTTCAGGTTTCCTGAAAACTTTTACATTTTTAGGTTTCACATTTAATCTTATTCATCTGAATTATGTTTTGGTTTTAAATTATGCCAGCTCTCTTTCTAGTGGCTGGGTCAATAAGAAAAAGGCCAAACCATGCAAAAAAATGACAGGCCTGCTCTGCAAACTGTGAGAGTGCGTTCGGAGGACAGACAAAGCAATACGCTGACATGTGGGAATGATCGGAAGCCGTCACAAAACTGAGCATGAAAAGAAGAAGAAAGAAACAAAAACTCATCATTACAGAGCCAAAGGTGATGGCCTAAGACTCACACTTAGCAGGAGTTCCCAACATAACTTGCATCCTACTAAATATGGAAAAAGTGAAAACAATTGAGCAATTGTTCTCCCTTCAATACACGGCACCGTGTGCACGGCCAAAACCATGCAAACACGCATTTGTTTAGAGTTGGTGGCACAGAAACAAGACAAGGAAAACAATGGCCAAAAAGTCTTTGTTACTGAATCACAAAAGCTGATAGCTGCTTATTTGCATTCAGAGGATCACAGTCGCTGCTAAACGGTGAAACCCACATTGTCATAAAGGGAATAAAGGCCGTTATTATACCAGCCTGTGGCTTCAGGCATTCCTCCATCCAGCACAGAAATCAGACTTAGTTTTCTGCTGCCTGGAAGATGAACTTTTAATATTTAAGAAAACAACAGTGAACTACTTCCTGACATCTAATTATAGACATTAAAGCAGACATGTAACAATTTCACAAGAGGCCTTTTTAGTTTGTAACATTTCAAAAAATTAAAAACAATGAAAACTTTAAAATCCATGTCCACTGAAGGTAAACTGTAGAGGTGGGCAGATCAATCCTAAATATCAATAATATCAACAGTAAATAATATTAGCATGCTGAGATTGATCATTTAGTTTCAGATTCCATCTAATATTATTCTATTTTTGTATTGTACTTTGTAACTCTACCTGTTTTTATTTTCTCTTAAATTATAATATTTTGCTCTTTGTTTATTTTGTAAAATTGCACATAAAGCATGTTAATATGTTATTAAAGTATTTTGTAGAATGCTGTTCCAGGTTTGAACAAAAATAATTCAAAGTAAAAACCACAAGAACAAAAGGTCAAAAGTTTGATAATGTATCAAACTTAAATAAGAAGTATTGGTATTGGTATAAGCACTTTGTATTGCCTTGTTGCTGAAAATGTGCTATAAAAATAAAATACCTTTGCCTTTTGCCTTTATCAGCGATATGGGCCCCGTATTTACTTGGTATCAGATCGATACAAAAACAAAATATTCAGTGTCGCACACCTTCAGTAAAATGTTCACATATGTAGCTCAAACTATTCACAGAAAGGTCTCCAGGTGTCAGAGTTTCCCAGTCTCTTGAACTTCTTCACATCTTAAATACCTATTTCAATGATCAAAGAACAAAAACATGCAAGTTAAAGATAAAACCATCCACAAAAGCAGTGCTATCTTCAAGCTAGAGTTTGCCCCGCTGTGATTCAATGGATTCCACATGCAGACTAATAATGTCTCAGCAAATAATCACGTTGCATTCAGAAAGGCAAATTACATAGGTTTTCTTTTTGTCAGCTGGCTGCAAACTGCTGATCAAATAGCCCTATCATCTTGAATTTCTATCACACAGGCAAAAAGAATTGACCAGAGACAAGATAAAAGCCTGCAGTGCCCTGACAAATCTAAACTCACTTAAGACGTCAATAGTGTCACGCCGAAAAGATGCCTGCATTGAAAAAAACCCACCCAGAAATCCATATCAATACGCTGCCAATCAGGTAATTTCATTAAGGCATTCAATGCCATTTGCTGATGGGATAGCAAATTGTGTGCAAACAAAGCAAAGGTCAGTAAAGTATTGTTGAAGTAAGTGACAGATTGCACGTGGAGAAGTGCAGAGGAGTAGAAAAATGCAGTAAGCCGCCGATTAGACGCCTATGATAAAAGGAGACAACTTTCTAATTCCATCGGCCTGTTTTGATACAAATCAAGGCTTTTCCGTTGGAGTCAGTGTTTCTCTCCTGAACAAACTCCTCTCTGGACCTGCTTAAAAAGGAGCGCTCCACAACTTACGATTTCTTTAAGCAGCTGTGAGTGGAAGTTGCTTGTTTTTTTTTGGGTGGCGGGGTGGAGGGACGTTTATGGCCCCATTCAAAGGCTGACATCTCAAACACAGGAAGGAAGGAACTGAAGAAGTGCCATACAGTATAAAGAGGTTTGTTTTTAAACTCCTGCTGCCTTCTGCAAGACAGGCCCTTTAACTGAGGCATAATTTAGGATGATCTGATATAGCAAAGGCTTTTGCTGTATAAAAACAATCAATATGACAGAACACTGCCATCATTATCCAGCCATGCTCCTACTGCAGCCATACAGTGGGGTTTAAAGACTCTACAGGGGTCCAACCCCCACAGAAAGAGCACCGACTTCAGCCCTGATGTCACATGTGGAAGAGGGAAACGAGTGGATTGGGGGGTGTGTGTGTGTTGGTGGGACGAGCTCTCAGGATTATGGCCTGGAAGCATGTTAGATAATAGATCAAAGAGATTCGCCGGAGAGAGCCCTTCATGCGTTTTCTACCAAACACTCCTCGTTATGAGGAGTGGCAGACGCTTTTATTCCTCAAAATGATGCGAAACCCTTGAAAAAAGAAATCAAATCAAAAAAATAATTATTGACCATTTGTAACTACTTGTTTCATCTTTTGCAGCCAAGTGCTGCACAAGATTATTCCACTTATTTTATGTTTCATCTGTATTGTTTTGGAGGTTGGTCACAACATAAATCCACACATTTGTCAGAGTTTGTGATGCCAAAAAAAAATCTGTCACTTAGTGAATAATTTCAGAGCTTTTTACATCACTAATATTACCTGCAACCTGTACAAAATTTCAGAAATATATTTAAATCAATGGTAAGAGGAGTCAGTATGTCGTATAAGTTCCACTAACGCTGTTAAGGTTTATCCAAAATGAAAAACATCTAGATATCTAGGTTGGTTTTCAGGTCAGGTTAGAAAATCAATGAAGCTTCCAAGATGGACGAGTCAAATTTTTACCTCTAGAAATAACTTACAGTGACTGCGTAGTAGTGGGTGTCACCCATGTTTGAACAAATATTAGTTTTCAAATGTACGCAGATGACACAGTGGCTTTTCCACAAGCAAAGAAAAAAAAACTATATCCAAGAAGAATGCTCACATAGGATTAGATTTTAAGTATTCATCACTGAATTCCAAAAAACTGAAGGATTTTTAAAAATAGATTTCAGTCAGAAGGAAGGAACAAATCTACTTTCAAGGCATTAAATATATTATACATTGAACACAGTCATCATCAAGTGGTTTAACACAGAGATATATTGAGGGAGCAGCAGAAGTTTCACAACAATCTGCTGTATTCATGAAAAACGGAAGATTGTTCTTACAAAAACAAACCTGCAAGCCTCGATAAAATTGGCAACGCTACATTTGAAGAGTCCCAATTGTGGGAAAACTCCATCTTTCACTACAACACAAAGTACAACACTGGTTTCTGTGCACACTAGACGGCCTCGCAACCTGGCAGATTCAGAGTGATCTTGCAGAGAGGAGTGGGCAAATATTACTAAGTCAAAATGGAGAATGCTAGAAAGAGTCATTACCCAAAATGAAAAAGTGTTGTGTAAATTCATCTTGTTCTCAGTTCTTCATGGAACTGAGAACAAGTTCCATGAAACCTGGGAGTTTTAATTCCAGGTTTAGATTTTTCCATTCATGACCTTTTGACCACTGATGAGAGCTGACTGAGGGGAAAATAGCCAATTTTTTTAAATTTATTTCGCAATTTTCACCTTTCTTCTGATATTGCCCTACATACTAACTGATTTGCATCACGAGACAAAAGCATAAGTAATGCATCACCTAATTTAATCCTAACATACAGTTTTAATGAACTATTTTCACTTTTTGTAGTTTCATCAGTACCATCGTTTGAAACTTTACATGCAACGCAGTACGGTTGCAAAATGAAGCAGCAATAATATGAATGCTACAGAGCAATTGTCTCTAACCTCCACAGACTTTAACCAACATACACTTCAAGGAAAACTCAAAAACCCTCCATAATCATTCCACAGAAAAGATGAAAGGACTCCCAATTAAATCAGGAACTACTAAAGGGGCACAATCATGTTTCCCTTTGTCCAAGACAAACTAACTCTGATGTGAAGTCTGGGTGTTGACAGACATCTTCATCAGGAAGTAACTTTGCTTGAGTTTGTGCTCATGCTGAGCCTGTAAATGCAGCAGCGTGCTTCAGTGGATCCATTAGTGCCAGAATGCGAGAGACGAGGAACGAAGAAATCAATTCACAGGAGCCTCCTATTCAGGTGAAGCATCTTCTGCTTACGAATACAGAGGGCTGACATCTGTGTGTAAAAATGGCCAGAATAATAGATGGCAACAAGCAAAACACGCACTTTATTGAAAAATCTATTGCTGGAGCAGCTTGGCTTTTAGAATCAAAGACCTTGATGGTTGAACTAATGTTATTTACAATTGACATCTGTTGATTCAGACAGAGGACTGGGAAGAATTCTTTCAACAAAAATGCACATGCAGAGTATGTAAGTAAACAACACATTATATCAATCTTTACTTTTGACACTCTGCTGCCCCCTTATGGACAAAATAAAACATGCATGAGCCCGACATATTTGATTTCAGGTTCCAGTCGTTGCTCCTCAGCACTTTACAGGACATTACTCAGCTAAAACAAATCTCAAACAAATAAAAGCAAAATAAATTCAAATGAATACAAATTTATTGAAATTGGCATTCATCAGTGAGCAGGAAAACAATGTGCAAACAATTGCTGCAGTTTGTCATCACTTCTGTCAGTGTATGTCATTCATTTTCCCTCTAAACGCAACTTTCAACTGTAATTTATCTGCCTAGAGCAACTGTAGCACTTTACTTGCTAGTTACACACTCCAAAAACACAAAATCATAACCAGTATTTTTAGTTTCTAGTGCAAATATATTAGAACGCTTGAAATAAGACAAATCTAAGTCACATGTAACTTTTCCAAAACATACCGGAGCTTGTTTTAGGTCAATAAATTGTTCAAAACTACTTGTTCCATTGTAAGATATTTCTCACTTATAATATGGAAAAAATGTCTTGTGATAAGTGAAAAAATCTGCCAGTGGAACTAATAGTTTTAATCAATATTCAAGAGTTATTGACCTAAAAGGTCCTATGCCTTGCGGAAAACTAACTTGTAAGTTAGAGCACTTGAAATAGGACAAAACTACAATATTAGCACCAGAAACTAGACTGAAAATACTTGGTAACATTTGTTGTTTTTGTACTGCAGCTACATCCATGTTTTCAGCTTGGATGTGTCAGACGTCTCAGGCAAATCAACAGCAGCTTAAGTCAACAGTATTGATATGTTGCAGTTTTCCTTAATTCTTCCAGACAACTAAAAGTGCTTATAGTTTCACTTAATTATGCAATTCCTACGACAAGTTTACTTACACTCATCATGGTCAAGTTGTTGTAATAATTTTATTTGAACCATTTTTTCCCTCCATTTTCCAATTAAGATTTTAGATTTGTCTTCAAACAGAGTTAGTAGTTTTAGGTTTAAATTTTAAGGAGTAAATACCAATTTGGTTGTGGAAAAAGTTTTGAAAGGAATTAAATTTTGTGGGAGAAAGTGTTCAACTGTGTCCCTCAGGGTTTCCTGTGGGTGGTACTTTGGGAATATGGAGAAACAATATGACCAGTGTCAGATCTTGGTCTGCATTACCGGCAGTAAGTTGGACACTTTTCCAATGACAGTTGGACTCCAAAGTTTCCCTTTGCAACCTTTCTGGACAGCATTTCTAGGCAATGCCAAGATGTTGAAGGAATGTGTTTTGGAGGCATCAGGCAGAATGTGAAGCAGCCAGGATGCCGATCAGCACTTTGACTGTGGTCCCGATCTGGAAAAGGATAGAGTGCTTCACCAGGTTGGGGTCGAGGTCCTACCCAAAGTAGTGCCGTTTAACTTGGGTTCTTGTTCACAAAAGAGGGAACATTGGAGTGGGAGATCGACAGGAAAATTAGTGTGGTATCTGGAGTGACGTGAACATGTACGGGTCTGTTGGGGTGGAGAGAGCTAAACCGAAAAGTGAAGCTCTCGATTTACTATACCATCTACGTTCCTGCCCTCATCTGTGGTCACAGGCTTTAGGTAATGACTAAAAGAATGAGAGTGAATACAAGGGTCTGAAGAGAAACTCCTTCATCCAGGAGGGACTCAGAGAGTAGAGACGAGCCATTGAGGTGGCTTGGGCATCTGGTTAGGAATTTCCAATGGAAGGAGACCCAGGTCACCCTGGAGGGATTGGATTGGGAACATCTTTGGAGGATCTGGCTATTCTACACTTCAAAAAACCTGCCACATAACAGCAACATGCACAGTTTTCGAGAGCAACCATAAAGACTAGGACTGGCTATGTTTAAGTAGATATAATCGGTGACCAATTCCAATTGGCTCACCCATTGAACCTATTAAAACTTTATTGACAATGGTTAACAGCAAAACAAAGTTAAACAAACTGAAAGAGTGGTCAAATATTCAATCAAAAGGCTTGTTGGTGTTAACTAAAAGCATTTGGTTAAGGGGAAACTTGCTTAGCAACATTTAACCCAATCTTACTGGAGGTGTATGATGTGAATAATTCATAATGCATTAACATTTAAATTTGTGCTCCTGATGCTTGTTTTTAAAAAGTATTGCAGCGCATGTTGTATGAAAGGTTCAAATAAATAATAAAAAGCTCCAGAATGATATAGAACTTGCTTCCTATGATGAGTTTATGTGAACTTCTCTTTGGAAATGTGAAGTACATTTCATTTCACTCATTGTGGCATGCTTCCAGGTGTGTGTGAATCTGCGTAGAGTGTGTGTGGAGAGAGCTGCTCCTCCGCGGCCTGCTGTGGCTGAGTGCACATTATCAGTGGGACGCCCTGGATGACCACGTTCTGGCTACCAATGCCAATGTTTGGAACCACCAGTCCAGTTTCTTGACAAGGCTCAGCAGGCTTGGAGCCAACCATGTCCGGTGGAGTTGCTACTGTCACCAGTGGTGAGCTCTTTTTTGTCACGACTCTTAGTTCTGTGCCCCCATCAGGAATGAAGGTGCTGAGGCCCTCCAGATCAGAGCTGTAGGTGATCAGAGTCTGCGTGCTGCTGGAGTCCTGAGGGGTGTCAGTGTCTGAGCTCAGCTTTGTCAGCAGGACAGTCTGGGGTTCGGCCCTGACGGTACTACAAGGCGACCCGAGAGGTTGCACAGCTGCCAGCAGATTGACTTGTTGGATCATAGATTGATTGACGACGACGTCTTGGTTGTCTGGCTCCAGTAAGACCAGTTTGGTTTTGCTCGATCCATCCCCACCAGCAGGGATTAAGGTGCTTTGCTGACCCAAAGGCTGTGGGACGATGATTTTAATCTGTGCGTTATTGTATGAAACCATTGAACTAGATGGGAAGGGAACTTCAATCTGAGCATTGCTTTGCGGCATTGTGATGGGAACAAGGTTGACCGTGTCTGCTGAGCTGGAAAGCTGGAGCTGCACCGTGTTCTGGGCGTCTCTATGCTGCTTCTTGTGGCTGCGCAGCGAGTCCTCCCTCACAAACGATGCATCGCACAAGTCACAGTGGAAGGCCCGGGCTGCATCCAGTTTGGCCCGATACCGAGAGCTGACGGGTTTAGGAGAGTTTCGTCCACCTCTGCCGGCATTCCTGACTCTTCCTCTCTCTGCTTTATCCGAGTGACACTGCTCTCTGTGGGTGACCAGACAGCTGAGTCGCTTGGAGGCAAAACTGCACAAGTCACACCTGAAGGGGCGCTCCTCTGAGTGGATCCGCTCATGGACTTTGAGCGCCCCCTTGCTGGAGCATGAGTAAGTGCATTTGGAGCACTGAAAGGGCCGAGCAGGCAGGTGTTGCCTCGCGTGTTGCCGCAGAGCCGACCTGCTGGCGGACTTGTAGTCGCAGTGTTCACACTGAAATAAGTTCTCAGTGCCGTGCTTGATGCGAGTGTGAGACTTCAGGTTTCCTTTCATAGCACAGCGGTACTCACAGAAGTCACATTTGTAGGGCTTTTCCCCAGAGTGAATGCGGAGGTGCCTTTTCAGGTCGGAGTTGATTTTGAACTTTGCGTCGCACTGCTGGCACTGGAAAGGTGCGTCACCTTGAAAGAGAAAGAGAGAATAAATGAGAGGTCAGCCAGGCAAACGTCAAATTAGCTTTTGAAGGAAGCTACCGGTGTGAGAGCGGAGGTGCACAGTGAGCTGGCTAGAGTTGCGGCTGGCATAAGGGCAGATCTGGCATTTGAACGGCCGCTCGTCGTAGTGGATCCGAAGGTGCTTCTTCAAACTGCTGCTGTCTGCCGCTGCGTAGGAGCAGTGCTTGCACTTGTGAGGCCTCTCGCCCGTGTGGGAGCGGCTGTGCATGTTTAGTTTGTCACGCCGGCTGAAGCGCTTGTGGCAGAGCTCACATTCAAACGGCTTCTCGCCTGCTCAATGAGGGAAGAACAAAGTGGGCTGACTCTTTGGGCTTTTCTGCAGCTCATCTCAAAAACAGTACAGTATTAAAAGGGACTATCCTACCGGTGTGAGTCTTGAGATGTCGCTCCATGTCTTTTTGGCCATACTGCGTCTTAAAAGTGCAACCTGTAAATGTGGAAGAAAAGCCAAACTCTCAAATTATTAAGAAGCTTTTAGAACTACATTGTGCAAACAATAAAACAGGTGTTCTCTCTGACCTAACAATGTGTGAACAAATTTTGGCTCACATCTTTTTTCCCAACTTTGCTTTAATTTCGTAAAAGTTGCAAATATTTGTTTCTTTCAGATCAATTTATTAAAACAGTTCAGAGGGGGTTCCACACACCCAAAAAAGTGGCAATAATGTTCTTTCTGGCAGTGCATACCAACTCATGTGGTGAAGGGACCTTTATCACTGTAGAATAGCAAACTTTATGAGATTAGCATTTACCCTGTCTCTCAAAGAAAGCTATTGCCTGAGCATTTAAAGCACTTAACTGTGAATGTGCTCTATCTGCTTAGATGCATTTCTCTCTTAGATGAAACCACTATAGAAGATATTACAAAGATCTAATTTAGTTACTTGTGTAACTACATATTTATTTACTCATTTACATAGAAAGTACTTCCATATCAGTGCAGTCATGGCAGAGTCTCCTGAGCCAGGTTCAAGAGATGCTTATCCAAAGAAACTACATAAATTAACTGAATTTAACTTCCTTCATAATTTGAATATAACTTTAAACTTTTCCTACATTGATAAACAGTAACTATTTATTTTTAAAAGATCATTGCTGATGCATTTTCTTCTCTGCATTGCATTAAAAACACCTGTTTGGTTCAGATCGGTATTTATGGTTTGAGGATCAGCAACTTTACAGAACCAACCTGAGAAACAGCAGGAGTGTCTTTTGGAAGTCAGGGCAGGTTTTAGTTTCTTGGATGGAGTTTTCTGTGCTTTGGTCAATGACTTCTTGATGCCTCTCACCACACAGACCTGGTAAGCATCCTCAAGAACAAACTCTGTGCTGGAACCTAAGGATGGAGGAGACCATGTCAGACGTGCATGAAAAGGCTGCTTTTAAGCGAGTTCCCATTGAAATATAAAACTGGAACCTGTAAGAGAGGCTGATACAGAGCTGACCGCGGTGTGAGAGGAGGGAAGGGAGCATCCGTTTTGCTTATGGGCGAGAAAAACCTCATAATTATTGTATTGCTGTTTGCAGAAGCCGCAGATGTGGATGTCTGGGTTCACCTCCACCGCAGCACAGGATCCTGCATTTACTAGATAACGAAAATAGGAAATAATGACTTCACCACAAAATTTATATATTTAGATTTGTTATACTGACACCCAACAACAATTCTGTGCTGATTAGGAGCTGCTTTGTCTTACCTTCGCTGTTGCATGTTGCCATTTTCGATGTTGTTTTGGTAAAGCTCAACTTATTTTTCGGCTGCTGTGTTCGAACGGACGCTTCATTTTGGCGTAAAACAAAAGCGACTCAAATGAAAATACGGCCATAAATAAAACCGCATATTTTCAACTGCGAGCTCCATGAAGATTAGTTTCCACCGAGAAAAAATAAGAGTTCACTCTTTCAAATACACCGACACTTTGAGGTTTTACGACACTATCGCTACAGTTTGCGGCATGCTAAGTTACAAACCATGTTGCATTGAATGCTGTGGGAAAAAGGAACTTCTTTCTTTCTTTCTTTCTTTCAACAGATGTAGACCATGTTGATATATCATTATATGTATAATTCACATTATATAAGTTTGTTCAAAGAGTTGCTGTAAATGCTGATAGCTGTGGCCAGGAAGAATCTCCTGTAGCAATCTGTATTACTACGATTCTAAAGAACCCTCTGACTGAAGACACTGCTGTTGCATAGCAAAATCATGAAGAGGATGCTCTTGGTTATTCGTAATGTTTTTCATTTCATGAAAAATCCGTTTTCGCACAATTATCTCCAGAGATGGCAGAGAAGTCTTTGTAAGTCCCTGGCTCTAATGCTGCTGTCCAAACTAATGATGGAAAAAGATATCATATTCTCTATAGCAAAATTACAGAAAATCTGCAGCATCTTGCTGCAAACACTGAAAGACCTAAGCCTCCTCTAGAAGTAAGATCTGCTCTGTCTTTCTGTCCTTCTTGTAAACCTCTTCATTGTTGCATCACCAGTCCATTCTGTTTTCTAGGTGAGATGAACACCGAGATGAATATCTGACAAAGACAAAGGAAAATCAGATATAAAGATGCATTATTCACACACAATCCTAATGCATAATATATCAAAAAAGATATGGGGCAAAAATAATTTCAGCTGCCATGGAGCAGATTTGGAAATAGCTCCATTTACTCATTTATTGTTACCACTGATAACCCACTACAATATATTTTACCCACAAAATTACATGTTTTCTGGCTTAGTTTTAAAAGTATCTAATGTCTAAACTGAATATTAAAGTTTCTTGCTGATTCATATGGCAAAGAAAAAATGTTTACTTCACTTAGCAGTCATGTTAGCATTTCCAAGGACCTGATGTGTTATGTTTGAAAAACATCTAGTTCAACTGTAAAAAGGAAGTTATTTCTAATTTGAAATTTTGATATACCCTTTATAAAGTTTGTCATGCTTAAGAATGTGAGCTAGCAGGTTAGCTACATCTTCAAATTCAAGTAGTTATCTTCTTTAGCTGACTATCTGTACTAAAACCGGCCTCAAAGACATACATCAAAACTATTTTAATCTAAGTTAAAACATTGTCTTATTATATACTATGAGGTGTATTAAGTCTTAACAGTTGGCTCAAAAGTAAACTTGAATTAGCTAAATGTAGCTTTAGCACTTGTTACAGGAATGTAAAGATATTTCTTGTGTGAGTTTTCAGACACAGCAGCTGCTGTTGCTGAACAAACAGCCATTTTCAACTAAGGACAATTTACTGGGATCGTTGGGGTGAGGGAATGAGAAGGCCTCTATTTATGCCGAAGCAGTTGTGCTGGTGTGAATAAGCCATGAAAGTGAGTGACACACAGCTCCATTTTCAGTGGCAGCTCCTTAACTGCCTGATTGCCACTGTGAAGCTGAGGAATTTCCTTACGCTGACTTTCCCGAACAGCAAAGGCACAGGACTGATTCCTTCCCTGCTGAAACAGCAAATCCTTGAGACAGACAGGAGATCCACACCCACGCATACAAGGCTTACACACACGCACACACACACACACACACACACACACACACACACACACAAACTGCGTGGCCTTTCATGGCCTGCCTTCATGACTGTGACAAGTTGATAATCGTCTTCTTTGAAGAAGATTTTGTAAGGATACTCAACTATTATATTCAGATACCTCCGTGGGGCTGTTTGTGTCAAATTAGTTACAAAAACAGCTTTATTTGCAGTTTTGAAATGTGATGACACAGAAATGACATGAAAAGGAGCTAATTAAATAAATAATTCGATACGTCCAGAATTTGCTAATCTTGTGCACATACAGTAAATCCCCGTCAGACTCAAGACGTGTCCCCACCCCCTTTCTGCCGCGACCGCAGCCTGTGGAGAGCAGGCTGAATGTTTTGATGAATTTTAATAGTTTCAGGAAAACTGTGCCTTTGGTTTCAATTTTTTGTTTGTGATTCACTTGGCAACACCCCAAAGTAGGAATAAGATACAGTGCCTTGCAACAATATGCATCCTTTGAACTTTTCCTCATCTTGTAGCATTACAGCTACAACCTCAGATGGGTTTTAACTGGGATTGAAAACAATAGGACAACATCATGTTTCTAGATGGATGGCCATGTCTTGGTTGCAGTTGCATCAAACTCTCTGATAAAATGAGCAGTGCTCTGTGAGATAACAAAAGCTTGGGTATTGTCGTACAACCTAACATGGCTTTAAACTTCTCCACAACTTTATTTCTGACCTGTTTACTGTCTTCCTTGGTCTTCATGATGCCGTTGTTCGCTAATGTTCTTTCACAAACCTGAGTGGCCTTCACAAAGCAGCTGATGGACTCTATTTAGCACTCCAGTAACACTAGAAGCATAGAAAGCTGAATACAAATGCACTGCACACTTTTCAGATTTCTGTTAAAAAGATTGAAAAGCGTTAACATTTTCCTTCAACTTCTGTCACATGAAATCCAAATAAATACATTACAGTTTAATGTGATAAAATGAGAAGTGTTGTTTTCAAGAGAAAGAAAGAAAACAATTGAAGGAACTTTCACAAAGAGAGTTCAAGGATTTTCATTAAAAGAAACTTAACTGGCATTTTCAATGCCAGTCAAGTCATCGTCTGACATTATTCAATAGGATCCAATTAGTTATTGAAGTCAAAAGGAAAGTGTCTTTTGGATATCAAGCTGTGTCCAATTCCAAGACATACCTTTCTCCCATTTAGTGGGACACCCACATTTCCAGTGAGTGATGTAATGTCCTTCTTTTCCCCAATGAGACAAGGGCAACAATAGGGGGGGGGGGCAATGCCTCTGTCACATTATTTCCCCCCACCGAGGCATGCCAGCTGCTTACAGTTGCTTAATGGCCACGAGCTGTCACAAGGCATCACAGCCTGCTGCCACACAGGAGCGGCAGATGCTTTAATTGCACAATGACTTGTAGGTTGTCAACAGCAATTATACCAGGCTTCCACCTGAGGGCACCCAAACAACACAGTCCACTCGCTTTAGAGGCACGGAGGCTCTCGAGCTATCTGCAAAATCTGATCTAAAGGTTTTGTCTCTGTCAGGATGAGAGCCACACGTTTATTCCAAGTCTCCTTTTAGCCTTAAAGCTCAGCCATGTGATGCAAAAGACCTGGGCTGGATTGTTACACTGCAGGCGTAAGACCCCCAAAAATCATATTTAGACATAAAATATTTAGCTTTTGTCACCTTGGGGCCCAGGGCTCACCGTGCTGCTGTGGGTCGTTGTGTGCAGAGTTTGAGTAATTCCACTTATTATTAATTCATATTTCCCTCCACCCCCCTTTTTATATTTCAGGAGAGGCTAATTTCACCAGTGCCAGTCCAAAGATTATTATCATTAAGAGGTGGAAAATAAATGTGTTTAAAGCTAACCTGCTACAGCCCACATCTACAGTGGCAGCAATTTAAAAGATGTAAAATGTGCGTCATGTTGTGTGGCCAACTTAGGGAAAGTTTTTTTATTTTATTTGTGTAATACAAAAATGAACGAGTAGAAATGATTCCCTATTTGTTTTGAGTCATAAGATGAATTATACACATGTATGAATTCCTCTGGTTAACAGCTGCCGACTTAGCATCAGATAAACACAGAGCCGAAGTCTGGCAACCCTCCCAGCCCCCTGACCGTCCCCCTTTATCAATAAAAAAAAAAAAAAAAAAAAGACACAGCACATAAGCGCTCACACATACAAAAGGAGCACATGCTCACACGCAAATCAGCACATTGCTCTTTGTATGTGCTAACTGATGCAGATGATAGGGCTACAGATGAGTACGGGCTAACCAGAGAGAGAGTACATGTGGCTTTCACTGAATAAAGCGAGCCGTAGCCTCAGGAGGAGCGGATTCAATCCAAAGATACATGCTGGGAGAGAAATTAAGAGAGAAATTTAACCCTTTTGTTGCATAAAATCCAATTCAGGGGCATTAAAATCATAAAGAATAAAAGTTCTTGTCCGGCTTTTGTCAAAACAAGAGCTGTGCTTGAAAAGGAAGATCCTCCAGAAATTTAGTATTTTTCCTTTAGTGTCAGCAGGGGGTGTCCAAAATCAAGCTGGGAAAAGAGACGGAGCGTATTCAAAGCAGCTCAAGCAGCCGCTGCTCCAGTTTGTAATAGCTGACATTTTGGAATCAGTGGGTCAGCAAAATAGAAAAGCCACAGAGATGTATCGAAAAAGCAGCGGCACACTTTTGATCACACATTTGTTTTTACACTCAGACCTAATTCTTTCTGCTGGAAGTGACCATTAAAGGGGTAGTTCTGAGTTTTTTTAAAAGGTTTTAAAAGGTTAAAGTAGTTAATATCTTGCTTCCATTAGATGACTCCTCTCGTCTCCTCATTTGGTATAAATCTATTATAGTTGGTCTTGAAAGTTGAAATATGTGGCAAGTTGAAGGGGAGCCAAGACCAAAAAGCTCTTTTCTCATCTTAGACCTCCAATCAAAAACGTCATTGTGCTTTATGCAAACTTTAAACTGCTGGCACATATGGATTGGATAATTATCTAAAAAGAACACAATGACTATTTTTCTATTTTACCTCAACCTTCTGCAGTGGGATGCCTGGTGTCCTACTTCTATAATGCCTCTTCTTTCTTCTGCATGTTCATAACGTATCAAATCAACAGATTTTTCTTGTAGAGGTACAGATTTCACACTTGCATGGCTTAAAGCAACTGCGGCCTGCTACTTGATACTGAGTAATGCAAAGGGCTAACTGTGTGACGCAGTTTATTTTTAATTACTCAATGATTAGTGATTTATCTATGAGCAGATGCTGATCACATTCATTAATTCTCATAATTATCAACAGTGATTTAACAAGGCAGGAAATAGATAAATATCAGTTTGCAACATTTTTATTTCAATCGCATTATTATTTCTCACAAATCACAGACTTTGTTGCATCATTTTCCCACATTTTATTTGTTATGAAATGCTAAG